ATTTATTTATCATGAGTAGAGCTAAACCATCGCGGTGACCAAGATGATTATGTTTATTGTGGCAAGCAATTTTATGAATGTCGTTATCATAATTTTCACGCTTATCTTTTCCCTCACGATCACCAACATTTGCTCATCATAATCATCATGTTTTTTTGTTGGCAATGGAGCATAGTTTGTGGGGAGCGGGCAGTAAAGTGGTTATAGTGGCAGTAGTGCGGTGGACTGCGTTTGAGGTATGTTTGCACCTTGGAAATATGCGTAAACTGAAAATGGAGTTATAAAATAACCAATGAAAATTATGACGTTACTGTTCATTGCCATTTTCTTAATCATCATGACCATCATTACTATCTTCATTTTAATAATCACAATCATCATCTTTGTGATAGCAACATGTCATGATAATGAAGATCGTGATGATGGTGTTGGTCATACTCGTTTTCTCTCATTCTATCAGAATCGTACTCCTGATCAGTATCTGTATCGCCTTTTTTCTAATGTAATTACAGTGTTAGTTATCGATGAGTATTGATGTTTATGTTGTAGATGATTCCGATTATTACTGTCGTCATTATCTTCGTCATTATATTAGATTTATTATTGATATTATGGTATAGTTTATATAATTGAAATTTTAACTTTACGTTTACACCTTAAGTCAGTTATCAGCTGGGTCAGTGCGAATTGCAGCTGTGAAACGCACGCATCAGACAGCTTGGATGCATATCTCACTATCTTTGCCAGGACCGTACCACATCATGCTGTCCCTATTAACTATCTGGTACCATTTTTTCGGATGGTTGCACCAAAGCCGAATAAAGTGAATTCATTCTTCAAAGGGATTAGCATTTTATAAGCGAAAATTCGCGTCGCACTGCGTTTGCACCCGCATTCTAACGCGAGTGCAGCCTATTAATCAGTTGCGTCACTGCCTGGGACAAATGATTGACTTGCCTCTCTACCATGCAAACCGTTGTACCGTTCGCTTGATGTAGAGTGTGGCATTCCAGCCAGGTTTCAGTTTTTCGTTAGCCGCATGAACAGGCATTTACTTTTGCTTTAAAATTATATAGCGCATTCCTCGGTATCCCGGATAATGACTAAATATTTGTATATCTATGTATTAAGCTGATCGCATTGCACGTTTTATACAATGATCGTTAATTAGTTGCTGTCTTTAGAGCCCATATTCACAGCTAGTTGCTTCAACTACATTAATGAAGCTCATCGTACGACCCTCGTTGTTGAGCCTAGAACAGAAAACGGAACTACGTATGTTTTGATCATATTTTCTATTGTTAAATATCTTATGGAGTATTTTTTATATAGCACATATTGAGTCTTATACTGTGTATACTGTGTAATCTTTGTATTGTAGCGTCCCGTACATTGATGTGTGCTGTTTGCAGACAGATGGTTATCAAGCTAGCTTCTTCATTGAAGTTTTAGGGGGAAGACTGTCATAAAAGTTAGGGATAAGGGAGCTTATGCCAGTGTGAAGTCAGGTCATTTGAGGTAATTTAATGAGCCTTTTACCATTAAGGGATGTCTTAGTCCCGAAAACAGTCAAATGAAGATATAAAATAATCGAACTAGAGATTTGCAGATTTTATACCCTGCACTATTTATGCCTTGAAGAAGCGAAAAGAAAGTTTGTTAAACTTTTCTTTGCTAATCTCAGTTCCTCTTCATAATTGGTGTCATTCGCCGCACCGTTAGTTCATTATGTTTATATTGCTCGTTGTTCGCCGTTTCTCTGCCATCAGCGATGAGTAAT